GGGGAGTCCGATCCCATAGGGATCATTTTGGGCGCCACAACTATTTTCCATGTCTTGCACTCTGCCTCATCTTCCAGCACACATTGCTTGCTGTGAGAGCTGGGGCAGGAGCAACCATCTTGGTCAGTAAATAAATCCTAATATGTTCCTAGAGAAAACTTAGCTGTTGCCCACATTGAAAGTTGTACCACAGAAGGAAAAATGACAAAAAGCCTGTATGTTAAAGTACATTGACAAGGACATCAAGATCACCAAGGTCAAGCCTATTAATGGTAGCAACAATATGGAATGACTGAGACTTTTGGGATCATGATGAAACCCCAAGATGATTGCTAAAATTTGTGTCTGGAATTCCAGAACTAAAAACTCTAGCTAACACACTCACTGGAGATGCATTACAGTTACTGTAAGCATTTAAATGTAATCAAATATTTGCCTGATTTTATCATCTTGTTCTAGCAGTTTTTTGCTTTAGATACATTCCTGTGTGATGCTTTCCAGTGAGGTCCCTGCAGTGCTGTCTCTCATCAGTATGCAAACCTATCCTTAAAGAATCGCCCTGCTTCAGGACTAGCAGACTTTTTGTGTACTTCCTCCTTATGGAAGTTTTACACTCTGATACTTGCTGCACTAAATGCATTAAATCTTCGGGGTTCCTTAAGAGTTCATTCACTCACTGGAAATACTGAGTTACTGCAGCCAAAGCACAGGATTCCTTCTGAGCAGCAATTTTGATTCCTTAGAACTGAACTTTAGCCTATGATGTACCCAAGACCTTGAGAGGAGTTGTTTTACTGAAAACCTTAGTTCTTGTTTCTCTGATTAGACTTTTCACCTTATTTGCAATCCTTACAGCAATACACTACTGTGTATATTAAAATAAATAACTAAATTTCAAACTCTGACTCAAGCCCCCAAGTGCCAGGAGCTTTCTAGCAACAGCAAAGTGGTCGGACAGATGCCAAGCTGTGCTGCTGGGAGGCAAGAGCTCTGTTACGTATAAATGGCGCTTTTAAAATGCCAAAATAACACTGTCTTGACCCTGGCCCCTAGTAGACAAAATGCTTGTGGATTCCTCCCTGTTGCATACTGATGAAAAAGAGAGTATGAACTAGAAAACTACAGACATATAGCAAAGTAAAGCATAAGGGAACTCAGCTTGCAGAATAGCAGGAGATAAAAATGAGTGCTTAAATTACTTTCCTTGTCCCCATTTACCTCCATGCAGAGGGCTGCTGTTCCTGGTAGCTATAAAGCATGCATCATTCCTGAGAGCTGCATGTGGCAGTTTTGAAATCATTACATTACTATCCCAGTTAACTGCAAATAAGCAGTAACAAGAGCTGTGTGTGAGAGCAGCTGCTCATTAACTCATGGTCTGTGACTTCAAAGGATGCTTGTATGATGGAAGTCCTCCTTTCTTGACCTTTCCCCAGATCTACCTCCTGAATTTGTGAAAATACTGAGGATGAGACTTTAGGTGCTGGGTAGTCCATGAAACTGCTTCTGGTATAGCTTGGCTTACACAACCAGTTGCCCCACAGCGCATTCAGGAAATGGAAAATCAGATCAGTCAGAAGACAGCTCTGATAAACCCCTGATCTTTCCCTGGTACCTGCATGGAGCAGGTAAAGCCCCATGGGAAGATCTTATACAAAGACCCAGTGAACAACAGCATCTAACATGGCTTATTCTATGTGAATATTCTATTCTATGTGATCTTAGCTAAATAGAACAGCATCTGGAAGGGACCTCTGGAGATCATCTAGTCCAACCCTCCCACTACAGCAGCTTCTCTACACTAGGTTGCACAGGAAGGTATCCAGATGGTTTTTGAATATCTCTAGAGAAGCAGATTCCACAACCTCCCTGGGCAGCTTGTTCCCATGCTCTGTAAATCTCAAAGTAAAGATGTTCTTTCTCATGTTCATATGGAAGTTCTTATGTTCCAGTTTGTGCCCACCGCCTCTTGTTCTGTTGCTGGGAACCACTGAAAAGAGCCTGTCTGCCCTCGACACCCACCCTTTATTATAAGCATTAATAAGATCCATTCTCAGTGTTCTCCAGGCTGAACAGTCCCAGGTGTCTCAGCTTTTCCTTAAGGGAGATGCACCTCTAATTATCTTTGGAGCCCTCCGCTGGACTCTAGAAGCTCCTTTAATGGAGGGGCCCAGAAGTGGACACATTACTTCAGATGTGGCCTCACCAGAGCAGAGCAGAGGGGGAGGATCACCTCCCTTGAGGCCACCTGCTGGCCACACTCTTTTTAATGTGCTTCAGGAGAGCAAGGACCTTCTTCGGCACAAGGGCAACTGCTGGCCACCTGGACACTCGGGTCCTTCTCCACAGAGCTCCCTTAGGGCATGCCAGTGCCTAACCTGTACAGATGCACACAGTTATTCCTCCCCATGTGGAGGACTCTACGCCTGCCCCTAGTGAACCTCATAAGGTTTCTCTCAGCCCAACTTTCAAGGCTGTCTAGGTCTTAGTGAGTGGCAGCACAGCCTTTTGGAGCATCTGTGACTCCTCCCAGCTTTGAATCATTAGAAGGATCTGCTATTTGTATTTGAACAGCAGAAAGTAGGAAGTTTAAAGAACCCATCCAGCTCAAATGCTTGGCAGTTCCAAATTAAAGTGGATCTTCTGAAAACATTTTACAAGACACATGACACTCATCTCAGGGCTACTTGTAACTAAAGAAAAAATGAGCAAGAAATGAAATAGTGAGCCACATCCACCCCCAGCACCACCTGATCAAAATTCAACACGACCAATGTCTTCAATGCCATGGGCATATAACAGGCTGATCTTCACAGGAAGCAGCCTGAAGGCACTTAGGTTTTCAACGCAAAGGTCCCGTATCCAACGTGAAGTTGTATATGCTTGATGACCATCAGTCTGACTTTTAAAATCAAGCTGAGGAACAAACATGCAAAAATGCAAATCCTTCAGAACAAAGCAGGATGTCTGCTAAAAACAGATGCTCTAGGAAAAAATTAGGTGGCAGCAGTACAATCAAGTCAGCTCTGTGGCTGACTCACAGCCTGGAAAAAGGGAGAAAGGTTAGGTTTTGTGGGCTGACTGACTTCCAAACTAAACTACATCAGCAGCTCACATTACATGAAATGTACCTACAGATTAGGTTTCATATAGTTCCGTTGTACTGAAAATACTATTTTCAGAACTGATTATACATTTGGGAATACATATGGGGAAAAATGACACCATTACTGTGTAAAAAAACCAAAAATCCAACTTTTATTTTTCACAATACATTTCGAGTATATGCAGAACATATTTACATTTGTCCTTAAGGCAAACAGAAATTGGGTTCTTATTCCTGAGTTGCTAAGCACCAGTAGAAATAGCAAATAAAAGCCTGGGAGATGTCGCTCCCTTTGAAAGAGCAGCTGCCTCTTACGCAAAATATTTCTGCTTTCACCTCACATTTCTCTTAATGAGCTATTTATACTAAAAATTCCTGTTGCGTTTTGAGCAGTTTCTTCAGATTCCAATCTCTTCACAGAAACATCATGCCAAGACACAACAAACTTTTCATGTTTGTTATTTACCTTACACAGTGTTTACTGACAGACAGTGCAGCAGTTCTCCTGTCTCTCCTGGCACACACATCGAGGTCTGCTCTTTAGTTACTGTAAGAGTTCTGTAATCCCCGAACACAGAAGAACCAAACGCCATCGCCTTATGTCTCCAGAAGCCTGTGGCTTCTACAGTACTAAAAGAGGCACCTCAGCCACTTGACATTTGCAATGAGCAAGGCTATCAAAACCCACTATCTCCAATAGGCACTTTTCTCCCATGACCTTTAAGAGGTCATGGGCACGACCCTTAGTAAGTAAGTGTTGGCCCCATGATAAGGGGGTTGAAACTAGATGATCTTTGAGGTCCTTTTCAACCCAGGCCATTCTAAGATTCACTCTATGATTCTATGATTATGAACTAAGCACCAAGGAAAACACATAAAGACATAAAGAAGATCTCATAAAGCATCTCACATCCCACTGTAGCTCATCAGGAATCTGACTCCTTCTGGTAAGGTACCTCCCAGTGGAAGGTTGGAGGTTCCCCCCAAAGTAAGATGGCCCCAAAATAGAATGGTTGTGATTTTGCACCTGGTGACACCTCTGTACAAGAGCCTGCTGCAAGCAGCGTGGATAGCTGCAGTGTTGGGTGTTTATCCTCACTTCATTTTCTGTAATGTCACTTGCATGCAGCTGTATTTCTAAGATCAGCACTGCTGATCAGTGTGTCCTCTGAGAATATGTATATTTTCAATGATTATTTCAGAAATAAAATGCTAGAAAGCTTGTACAATTTCAGACAGTCTTAAAAAGTTTCTCCCTGTAAATCCCAACTCTGTCATACAAAGAGACTCCACTGCATTGACATTAAAACATTGTGACTCTAGAAAGTGATTGTTCACCTAGTTGTTCACCTAGTGCACTTGGGAAGTCTTGTCCTACTACACTGGTTACTGTAAAAATCTCTAGGATGCTGACACTTGCCTGCTTCTTCCCTCTTGCATATATTTTTCAGACCTGGATGGAGCTCAGGCTCTTCTGCCCTCACAAAGGAGAAAATAAATGCATCCATTCAGGCTGTATCTCTCCTCACTAGCTGAGGTCACAGAAGCTGATCAGCCTCCCCAGACATCTCATCAAGGTGAAATATTCCAGAGGAAGTCCTATTAATACCTCTTAAATTCAAGATGGTTCAACAGCCCTGGAGAGCAGAGAGGAGACCCTGTACATCACTGATGTACTCTGTGTCTCAGCTTGTTTGCAGTAGTAGCTTGTACTCTCATTTGATTTCTGATCTGAAGAATTGGTCCCACCTGCTCTTTCAAGGGTTGTCAGAGACCGAATCCTTTTGTGCAGAGGGGAGAAGCTATGAACAGAAATATGCTTCTGGACAATTCTGAGGTGCTGCTTCCAGAGGCACCACATTTCCACATGCATAGTAAAAGACACTGCTCCTTCTTACAGTGAAAGATGAAATACATTACATCCACTTTATTTATAAAAATTTTATACACCTGAAATATTACAAACATTTACAGCTTTCCTGCTTTCTTCTGACTTCTGAAAAGACCAAGCCATACAATCACACTGCTGTCTCCTTTGACTCTGATGTTTGTGGTGGCTTGAAGTTCAGTATCTCTTTATACGTAACACCTGGAAAAAACAACAACAACAACACAAAACAACAAAATAAAGAGTGTTGCTGGTCTGGCCAGAAAAGGAGCTGCAGATACAAGCCGGGTGCAATCCCCAGCATGGTTGGGCTCTGATCAAGGTGAGGAAGACAGAGACCTCTTCAGGCGAAAAAAGAGAGAAACAGTACAAGAATAAAGGAATCAGAGATTGCTTTATCACTGTTTTGCCACTTCAGATGTGAAGAAGTAGTCCAACACAAAAATGTTGTAGGTGTTTTCAAAGGTGTGTAAGCATTGACATTATAATATAGTGGAAAATACGCCCAGAAAGTGCTCCTAAGTACAGCAGAATTACAAATCAAGACCTCACCTCATTTACGAGTCAAAATACAAAACTCTGACATAAGACAAAAAACCAGAATCAGATTTTAATTTCTTCTGAGATAGACAGGCTTTCTCAGAAAGAGAAAACATATCTAACAGAAAATTAAGGCCAGCAATAACTTTAAGGCCTACAAAGCCAACAGCTAAGGAATCTGTTGCTCTGTCCTATCCAGTGTAACAAACACGTTTCCTTCCTATATTGCAGGAGATAAGAAGAAAGATGTATGAAGAAGATAGAAGCCACTGCTAGGAGGAAGAGAAGAAAACCTCTGAAGATATTTTCAGGATGATTTGATAAAAGGAACACTGACCAACAGTGTTTCTCTATTTTATGCTGTCCACTTATTTTTTTCCATTAAAAGTAGTGACAATCATCAGCAAAGGAGAGTATTTTCATTTTGGGATGGCCTTTCTAACTGCCTATTTTGAAAACATCACAAAACTAAACTCACGCTTCCACTCATCCAGGGTTAGATCCATGTTATCAAATGTCTCATCATATTTCTCAGCCTCAATTTCTTCCTCAGGATCATGAATTGGTTCAAAGTAAGGATGCATCAAAGCCTCAGCTGCCGTGACGCGCTCCTCCGCATCCAGCACCAGCATGTTCTCCAAAAGATTTACAGCTATGGAACAAAAAATAAACACTGCATTGAAATCAAGCCACCAATTCCAACTTATGCAAAGTAATGCTGCACTGAAGATGATTTAAAGATATTACAGATTTACAGAGCAAAATCATTGGTTGTTCATTCTACAGCCAGTGGGGCCCTACTGCACAACAAAACAGAGTGCCGTGAACAAGCAGGGACGTGTACCAAGCAATGCAGAGATGCTCCTTAAATTCCACATGCAATACAGCCACATCATCTCAGCTATGACTTCTCAGCTTCTGACTCCAGGTCCACGGCATTTAGGAACTTCCCAGTTGTCTGCCCTCACTGCCAGCACTGTGTTGTGGTTCTAAGGCACATCGTGACTTGGCAGCGGCAGAATTTGCAGATGGGCGTAGAGCTACTTAGGATTGTTTGTTATGTGACTAACTCCATGCCCTCAGCACTGGCAGCACATTTTCAAGTTCACCAAGATATCCATGCTCTCAATGTCAGCACTAGCTTTATCTGCAACGTGTTTTGACCTCACCAAAACAATCGATGAAATCCATGAGCATCTTCAACCTTCCACACCGGTGGATTTTGGATCGGGTCCTCCGTGAGACTACCAAAATGCACTAGTATAAACAGACACGATTCTATTATGTTCCTAAAAGTATCCTGTAAGAAAGTTTCTGAGTTGGGTGGAACACCATAAGGGAGGAAGGGGCAGCAGCATGGGAAAAGATGCTGCAATGCTTGCTTGGCACATTATGGATTCAGAACATTACAGAATCATTTAGATTGGAAAAGAACATTGAAATCTTTAAGTCCAACCATGCACCTAACACTACAAGTCTCTCCAACCTTCTCTCCCAGACCAAGAGCAGTTGTTCTTCACATAAGGAACAGCCAGATGGCCAAAGAAGTGATAGGAAGAAATTTAAGTAGAGATTTGTAGACTTTTCTGCAGCTGGGACAGCTAGTCAGTTTAGCCATTGGACCACAGATAATAATCCTACTGTATCTTAACATACCATTTTAACTGCTTAAATACAGAAGAGTCAATTATCCTAATTTATATTTTAAGAATGCCTGGCTTTATGAGTCAGGTCATTGGGGAACGGATGAAGCTGGGCAGAGCCATCTCAGAGCTCTTATTCCCTCAGGTCACGTCACAGTTATGCACACTTGGTATGTTCTTCTAGCTGTTTATATCCATCAAATACAAGCCAGATCTTTGCAGGAATGCACAGATGTTTCTCAGGATGCATTCATTCCACGTCTAAAATGTCAGCTTTCTATTTGCTTGCATTTCTGTTGTACATCAAAAGGACCTTTCAGAATTATATTTAAAATACAATGCACAGAAAACTTTATTAAATATATTTAAATCCCCAGGGCTTTTGAGAAAGCTGCTTCAGTAAAACCATTAAGCGCGGTCTGGATCGGAGCCTAAAGCATAAAATACTTCTTTTTGACTCTTTTGAATCATCTGATTCCTGGCAGAGTCTAAACTTGGCACAGTTCAGCCACTAGAATCAAAGATCTGAGTGATGGAACGCAAGAGGCAGAGCAGCATGAGAATCACCACATAACCACATCACATGACTGATACTGCTGCTGACTCCAGAGCAAACAAAACAACAACAGAAATGGTACACATTTGCACAAACTGCCTTACCCAAAGGGCTCGCGTGCTTCAAGACGGATGCAAAATCCTTTTTCTGGACTTTTGGAAGGCTTTTGATATAGTTTTTTGCCTGAAAAGAAACATGAATATTAAATTAGAACTTTGCCTCCTTCGTAATGTGCTTACTAGGTAACTTAGTGATGCTCTGACAGTACCTTGTACAAATGGAATTTTTTTTTGCTATAAGGCCTGGTTATGTTCACCTTCCTGTTGAAAGGAACAGTTTCTTTTAAATTGAACCTTAAAATTCTGATTAAGAAATTAAATGTAAAACTTTGATACCTAATCAACATCTAAAATGTATTCATAATTTGAAAGAATGTCATTCTGAAATTTACAGAAATCTCTAAAAGTGTATATCTTACAGTAATTCTTTAGTATTTAAATTGTACAGTTCAACTAATGATTCATTTTAGGTTCTTTATTGTAGGGACTTCAGGATTCTCAAAAACATCACATGAAAATAGGAAGTCAGAGACACCTACAGAATGAATGGGTTGTCTGAAGAGGTTCATATTTTCAGTATGTTCCCAGCAAAGGAAGCAATGTATCAGCTCAGCTGATTTAAAGTACTTAAATACATCCATTTTTTCTCAGTGTCCTAATCATTTTCTGTTTGCCCTTAACGTCCAGTAATTTTTCTGGCTGTGAAACCTCATAAGTAGGCAGAGATGTGCTATCGGGGGTCATTTCAGCAGCCAACACACATGATCTCAGGCAGTCTAAGAAGTGGCCTAAGTAAAATCAGGGCACATAAAACAGTCTGACAAAGCAGAATACTCACTTCCTGACTCTTCAGTTTTTGCACAAAATCTTGACTTGGTGTACCCGTTATTTTCATTATTTCTTTGAGTTGATCCAGATCTGAATGCCAGAAATAAGGAACAAAGTCTTTCACCGTAGGATAAAAATTATGTGTTTCTTTGCTACTGGAGAATAAAGGAAAACCAACAATGCAACACTGAACAGAAGATGTATAAAAGATGAGCTGTCAAACACACAGAACTCGTGAACAAAACAAGTGAAGAATTCTTGCTGTATTCTTTTATCACTGCACTCTACTGTCTGTTACAGCTTGGGCCAACAAAGTATCACCTAAGGTTGAAGTATGGCTAAGTCTTAACTATTTTCTTAAATTTTCAGCAATGAAATGACATGACCAAATATTTTCCGCACATCTAAAATATTGTTCTCTGTATTATTTACATGATATTTTTGACAAAAGCCTCAAAAAGCATGAAATGGACTGGCACATGCTGGTAAGTTCATATACTACACCAGAATTTTCTGTGCTGGAGCTGTGGAACCTATTGCTACTATATATATATATATATATATATATATATATACTTATTTATATATATATATGTAAATATTTACCTTTTGTATTGTCACTGAAACTTTTAGCTGATGATTTGAGGCATCATTCAGTGGATATCCCACTCTCTATTGAAAAAGTTCAGTAATGTGAGTTTTAATTTGCTGATGTACAGATGTGGTACAAATATCAAATAACTACTTAAATATAGATGATAGCCACATCATAGCTGTATTTTAATTTACACTCAACAGATTTGCAGCACACTCACTGCACCACAGAAGCACCTTTTTGCACATCGTTTTCTGACGTTGGTTTCATTAATGCACTGAGGAAGGATACGGTCGTTTCCCCTGAACAGAGGCCTCCCCATTATCATTTCAGCCATTATACAGCCCACAGACCAGATGTCAACTGAAAAGATGATAAAGTAGCATTAAATTACTGAATATTTGTTCATCCAAATGTAAAGTTGAATCTAAAATATATTTTAAAGACGACTAAAATTTACCTTTGTAGTCTGTTATAATATACGTGGGTGCCTTGCAGACTATGATAATCAATATAGAAAAAACTACTAGCATTTCTGATAGGCAAACAGAAGATAATCTGGTATTGGGCACAGTCAGCTTCTCAGTAACAAACATGCATGCAGGAAATAATTCTGCTATGCTTTCAAAAATCTCTATGGTTATTCTGGCATTACTTCAATTCCCTCATTCTGCCATTTACCTTGTCTGTTACAACAAGCACATCTTTGCAGAAAGATTAGTCAGGGAGAACACAAATACGTAGAGCAGGTTTGTTCCAATTGTTTTGGAGCAATTGAACAATCTGCATTTTAGAAAACACACACAAAAAAACCCACCCCATGAACGAAACAAAAAACACACCCCCAAATGATTACCTGCAACCTACAAGAAACATTTTCATCATTATATTATCATTTCCACCTCCAATGTCTCACTCACTTCAGAAACACAGACTTGCCTTATTCGGTGAACGCTTCAGCTGTATTAAGACTTTTCCAAAGAGATGCTGACCTGTTTGTGTGTAATGCATCCAATTAAGGATGACCTCTGGGGCTCTGTACCACCTTGTAACCACGTAACCTGTCATCTCACTGTCCGTATGCCTGGCCATTCCAAAATCCAGGATCTGCAGTGGAAGCACAAAGTACACCCAGAGAGTTATCTATTTCATACAGATTTAACAAACACAGGAAATAAAAGACTCAGAGCATCATGCAGATTGAGTTGTTTTTGCATCTCTTTCTCATTGAAGTGTCTCGCTCTCATTTTATTAATCAAGACAGAAGTAGCAAGGAGGTTTACAATTTTTTTCCACGTTAGATAGATACCTTTATATCAGCACTTAAAGCTGTAAAGCCAGTAGAGAAAACAATACATTATTCAATTAATGGTTAAAGAGATACTGGTCCCATTCAATCATGGGTGTGGAACCTTATCTTTTTAGAGTTTGAAGAAAAGCACCCAGCTTACATGGTATCCACTGTTCTGACATCCAAGGTGGCACAATTATTCAAGAGTGTGTTCCAAGAGTGTTCTGAAGTCAGCCAACAGATGTGGCCAACAGTCGTTTCACAGTTTATCAGGAAATCCACGCTATGAACAAGAAGGGTCTTGGCAGAGAAGCCTACTCAGATCATCCTTTGCAGATACTTGAATAGGTAGCTTCATGTGAAGGGCCACTGCTCTCCATGTGCATCTGGCTTCATACATATATTGATTGACACAGCAGCAGTTTTTACTAGGAGCACCCGTGCATTGCTATAGCAAGAGTGACATATTTATAATGCTTTCACTGTAGTCAAACATCTTAAAATATTTCACTTCAAGCAGGACAATTTCATTATTCCCTGATGCTAATAGAAAGGGAAACTGTAATTTCATTCATAGATAAAGAATATAAAATGCCAGGGCTTGTCTTTACTGCCACAGTAGAAGCATTATTTCCATAACTTCCCCATAACTGTTGATTACCTACAAATTTGGAATGGACTAGGAAGCAATGGGAGAGTTTTATTCTTACCAATAAAATGCAATTGATTCAGCCCAAAGTTACCTTTCAAAACTGGTCTCAAAATATTTGCAACTGCAATACATCTTTATATACAGCTTTCAAATGTAGTGTACACAGAGCACACACACACATCTTCCCTTAATGCTGGGAGGGAGAGGAGGGTGAGGGAAATCAGTGTGTTGTGCAGCAGCTCAAAAGCCACTGTTGGTGCTGTCTGGCACAGCTTTGTAGGCCTCTTTCTTTCAAAAGGCTGTGACACCAGGTCTTGGAGAAGGGCTAAAATGGAATTTGGACTTGTAGTTTTCTAAAGGCAGAAAATGAAAGCAAGAATTTTTATGTGTTATTCATTAACTTTATGATTTCTTTTCATTGAAGTGTTCATTAGGGTCATGAACGAATGGAGCTTAGCATTAATACAGTACCAATGCAACAACAATTTTCACATAAAAATATTATTCTCAAACTCTGCCTGATCTTCTAGTTTTATACTAAACTTCAAAAGATATTTTCAGAGCAAGTTGAAAACCCATTTTATAATGCAGGAATTATGAAAGAGAGCAAATGCCCCATGGCTCAAGAGTAAGCTCCCTTTCTATTTAGCAAACTTAATTTTCTTCCTTGCTTCAGTAACTGTAACAAAAATAATTTGTAGCTTCAAGACAACAGGAAGGGCAGTGACTCCCCCTGTGGCAGCCTCCACTGTCACTTCTCTGATTCCTAAGCAGCAGCTGAAAGAACCAGACAAGGCAGCTGGAAAGCACGCTCTGAGAAATAGGGCTGATTACTTATTAACAATTATTAACTCACACAGCTGCTAGAGCTGAGGCAAGGGAAGATGCTGAGATACATAAGGGGGAAAAAATATGGGATGATCCCTGTCAGTACTGCCTTGTGCCAGCGTACGGAGCGCTCACAGGGCAAGGCACATCCTATGCGTTACAGCGGAACGCACACGCAGTGAAAGGCAGTTCAGTTGGTTCAGTGTAAGTGGGGTCACAGTTAAATCCCTGCCCTCGTATTTTTAATGTACATTTCTCAACATTTGATAGTTTGCTTTCTGCCCATAAGCTGGAGCTGCCTTTGGACGACCAGTATTCACTGATTTCAAATCAGCACACTTCAGTATGCGATATCAGAGCTTATCATAAAACTAGGGATAGCATAATTTTGCCCTGAGAATCAAGAAAGAAAACTTAAACTTAGTACTACATTTTCTCCTACTCATTTAACAAAACGGTGTTCTGCTATCAAATCATTTGCTTCAGCTTATGTAAAAGCTTAAAAATGCCCACGGCAACAGAAAAATAAGTTGTATTAGGTAAGGAAATAGAGCAGTCATACAGAGAAATAATGTCTTGGATCTGGACTGCGTCTCAAAATCTCACTGTACAGGTAGGGGGGGTGGAGAGAGAACATGTCCAACTGGTTTACCTAGATTCTTTTTTCCCCCACTATCAGACTGGGACTCATCACAGTTTGGCCTCACACAAGCCAGAAAGAGACAATGGCTTTCTGTCTTAAACAGGGGAATCCCGAAAACACATGGCCCTGAACATCCAGGTCTGCTGCATTCAGTCTCCTAAGAGCAAGAAACTGTATTGCAACAGTTGCATGCTGTATATAATGCAGTATATAATCCATATGTTACATGCTAAAAAGCACTTCCATTGTGTTTAATTATGGGACTGCTTTACAACCTTTGATTTTCTGCATCTCCCAGCTGTAGACTTAGACTTACTGTATTTATTCAAAGCTGTAATTCTCACATGACTGAACTGCTTCCATAAAGGCTTATATCTTTTCAGGGAGATGGCCTTGGCCGTAAGATCTAAGAGTCCTTACATATCAGGACACAAATGTCCCATTCAAACGTACTGTTGTTTTGTCAAGATGTATGTACCAGCCATGACAGCACAGGACAGAAAACGTAGCTTGGATTTGTAATTAACTGAAAAGTCCTGGCTTGCCTCTCAGACTGCCACAGCTAAGAGAAGACAGGTAACAAAAACAAGTCTAGAAAATGAATAGTGATGTATTAAAAAAGAATACAATAGAATACAATAGGCTGACCTGAGGACTGGAAACAGTGTGAGGCCCCTATCCCTCAGGAGAATAAACTGTATTCCTAAAATGAACAGTGCTGAACACTACATAGTTCAACTTGATACAGAACAATTTGCTTTTTTTAAAGCAGCTCATTCTGCACAGCTCAACCAGATGCATTTTACTACTATGGGGTACACTGTGTATCTATTTCTCAAGTACAAATATTTTCCCTAACAGGTATTGGAAGATTTCTAACAGAGATAAGAAACTGAGTAAAAAAATCTGAACAGTTCAGATTCACTATTTCAGTCCAACGTCCATCTTCAGTCCAACTCCATCTCAGGAAGCCTGAGATGCCACATGTGCAGCAGCAGAATTACTATTCAGACAGACTGTACTAAGAACAAATCCAAGGAAGATTCAGCAGGAATGGTAACATCCACTCTTCAGGACAGGTACTTTCCACTATGGGTGCTACAGCCCCGTCTCCAGGTGTGCATTCCAGCTAAGCACCGTTTCCATAGGGGATAGGTGTGAGTGTGCACCATCCTCACACCCACCTTTGGACAGAAGCCCAGGTAGGAAGGGCAAAGGGAGGCATGGTCTGTGCCAGCACTTTCCCACTCCAGATAAGCAGCAACCAGGAAATACAGGAAATGCCATAAAGTGCACCTGTCTTACAGCGCACCAGTGAAAGTTAACAGATGAACTCCACAATGCTAAATTAGCAACCATTTCTCCTTAATGTCGTTTTCTTTTTTTTCCTTAGTAATTAATTTAAAAGGAAAAATCAAGAACTGATGTATTCTTTGTATGAAGTGCATGTGGTCTGCATGCAATTGATGTTATTTTAATGGTGCGGAAGGAATCGCTTTCAAAGAAATATGATGTTTGTGGTGAGCAGTATTTGATTCCTCCGGTGCTTCTCTGAAGCAATGAGCTGCAAGGCATCATAGGAACAGTTCTGCATTACAGCTCTTGTGCAACTGTAACCATGACATGATTATTTCCTGAGAAGCCTGACTGCTAGAGTTACACACACACCTTTCACAGGCCCAAGGCTATTGCACGACTGCCACATAAACACCAACCCACAAGAAGGTAATCTCAGCTCTCACACTGCTCCTCACCCAGCTGGAAGGACTAAAGCTATGAATAAAGCCTGTGGCATTGGCCTCCTCACCAGCAGTCTTCTGTACACCCTGGAGCCAACCCTCAGCTGTCCTCTGTTAACGGTGCACCAGTTTCCCAGAGTGTCCTACCTACGTTCAGCTCTGACATCCTTGGCAACAGTTCTGTTTCCTGGTACAGCCACCTCTTGTGCCTGGCTCCATAATGATTTCAGACATCATCACCTCTGCCATTCGCATGAAACATACACTGACTTCAGTTAAGGACATGCAAATAGGAAACTAATAGATTCTCAGTGTTCAGGGCTTTATTTCTTAAATAAATACACAAATACTGCTGTGGTGTTAAACTCACACAAATGGGAAAATATTTAAAAGTGTCAGTCTCCATCCATTTTTTTCAAGTTCATTACCACTGTCCATCTGATCCTCTTCCTTTCTCCAAGACTCTTCTGAGCTCCTGGGCTGAAACCCCTACGTACCACTGACACTGGTTAGCACACTTACAGCTGCTGCCCCTGGTGTTTTCTGTGGCACATCTCTCATACAGATGAAAACTTTTTTCAATGAACATATCCTACCTTCAATTCACAGTCTTCATTTACTGCCAGGTTTCCAGGCTTTAGGTCCTGCAATCAGATTTTAAATGGATGTTAATTATTTCTTTTCCAGCAAACAGAATAAACCACACTTTGCAAGTATTTATTTCATTTAGGTTAGATGGTTTTCCTGCAACTACTTAACACAGAAACAAGTAAAACAATGTCATAAATATAAACCAGAAAATTAGACATAGCAAATTACAGAAGTAAAGACACAAACTTGAATTTATATGGCATTTTTCCTTGTGTTCTCCCCCTAGATGACCTTTAAGGGTCCCTTCCAAATTTAAAAAAAAAAAAAATCTATGATTCTTATATAACATTTAAATATTTTTAAGAGTTTACTCTAATTTTTGTCTTCAAAAAGTCAGAAAAAAATCTTAGCCATCTCAATTTAGGTGCTGTTTGCTCTTATGGGGAACTTACTACTCAATTGCATGAAGCACTTCAGAAATCTAAACCTGCAGCTTACACTTGATGTAGTTACACTGTTTCTATCAAACAAATAATCCAACTTGAATATTATAAATGTAAACTCAAGAACATTTATGTCCACGCTTACACAAAATCACAACCCCATTGTAAGAATTTAAACGTATTTTATGTAATTTCTACTTACCCTGTGAATTATACCGGATGAGTGAATATACTGAAAACAAAAAAAAAAAGCAAAGAAAGCATGCTTTAGTTAACGAGCTCATGACTCTAAGTGACTCTAAGGAGCTGGGGAGCAGGCTTTTTCATGGTGCTAAAGTAATCTGAATTTTGGAAATGTTTATTTACTACACAGAAGATCTTTTTAGTGTTCAGGTAATTCAATAGCATTTTACCCTATTCCTCCCCCCAGAACTACATGCCAGTAAACAAGTTTGAGTACTGTACCAGATCATACAGTTTTTCTGCATACACATCTACTGAAATAAATCCTGCTCTTTTATGCATCAGAAATGCTCTGTTGCAGTAGACATCTCAGCTGTGCCATCACAGTTTAGATCTGCATGCCTCAGCAGTACCGAGCTTTCAGAAATCCTTTAAGAACAGGATTAAGCCTTGCTGTATGCTTCACCACTGCCTGCCTGCAAATCTAGTCTATCAGATTTATCAGCACGTTTTCATCATGCATTTAAGGGCTCTCAAAATTCAAATCAAGACATGGATGCTGAAGACCAGTTCTTCAAGGAAGCTGGGAAATAAGACATCTGACCAAATACCGGTACCTACACCTGTGTCTGTCACCCAGTGCTCCCATGAGGTGCCCAATTCCTCTCACCAGCTGAATACCACTCTCAAAGAGATGTCTCATCATAGGCCATGACAGGAGTCTCTGGTAATTGGTTCAGACCAATTTGTATGCTTGCCTGTTCCAAAGTGAGGACACACTGCCCTAGAGTGCCCTTGAATGTGCCTGTGCTGTTCAGGTGCAGGGAACTGCTCTGAAAACACTGCAGACCATGAAGACTGAGGCATCTGTATTACTCAGACTAAGCAACAAGAGAACAATAAGGGCTTTTTAACAAGTCTTCAGAAATGATGGATGAAGTGGGAATCCTAAATGTCTTTACCTCAACCCACAAGTTTTATCTTTTTCCAGTTCTCTCCCCGATCCCACTGGGGGAAGAATAAGCAGTGATGTGGTGGGGAGCTGCAGTTAAACCACAGCAGTCCTCGTGGTGACCCACAGGGGGCCCAAAGGGTTGAATTAATGACAGATCCAAACAGAATCTTTTGACATAAAATTCTTACAGGCATTATACTAGATTAATAATTGCTAGTCACAGTGTTGATTTATTTGCTCATGATGTTGCTTCATTTGCTCTCAAGGTTGGTTTTCTTAACTCTTTTCTTCTTGCTTATCGACTCTGATGGCAGTATTTATGGTTTTGCCATTTTGTATATAGCAACAGTCCCTCTGCAAAGGAATCCTCATTGTCCACCAGATGAGGGGAACAGGGGAAAGAAAGCAAATACTTTTCCTCCCTGGGCATCCCTCTCTCTGTGTTACAGGGAAGTAAGCTGACTAAACAAAGTATCTACAGTTGGTAAATGTTTATATATTTGTTCCTCTATTTTTCTAAAACTGGTTTCATACCACACAACAGCTGCAGACTGGGACTCTGCAGATCGAGTCCCACCACCCCACTTGGAGCCACAGCAGGTTGCCCAGGATGGGATCAGTCAGGTTCTGATCAGCTCCAAGTATGGAGCCCTTCCAGGCAACCCATTCCAGTGTGGTGGTCAGACACCAAACCTTTTTCTTCTTGTGCTCAGACAGAATTGTCCATTTCACCTTGTGCCTGTTGCCTCTCATCCTGTCAAAAGGCACCATTGAGAAGAGTCTACTCTGCCCTCTACATCCTTTCATCAGATCCACATAGACACTGGTCAGAGCAAAGCCATGCCATGTCTTCTCCAGGATGCATGAGCCTATCTTGCACAGCCTTTACTTATACGCTCTCCACTTCAGACCCCTCAGTGCCTCGCTCTGTCAGTGCCCTCCTTGTGCTGGGATGCCCCAAACTGAACACAGTGCTAAGTTCTGAGGAGAGGGAAAAAAAACACTTCACTCACAGATTACAACTTCAGCCATACAGTCAAGATGACGACAGGGCTCTGCTGCCACAGGGGCACGCTGCTGACTGCCATGCCTCAGTCCCCTTCTGGAAAGCTTTCAGTCCCTCTGCAGCCCAAAGCCCCAGCACTATGTACCTCCAGCAGATGGCACATCACTTCCTTCTGCCTATTATCCAAGTTTTAAAATCTCCCATAGAACTGCCAAAGCACTCCACGGGAGTTCCTGGAGGCAGCCACAAAGGGTTGAGGGAACTGTTACCCAGAGCACAGGTTGTAATACCACTACAACACATAAAGAGCTATGAAATGCTATTTCTGTCATGGATGTGCATGAAATGCATCGGGATGGAAGGAACCAGATGCAAAAAGAAGTGATCAGTCAGAGGTACAGAACCTGGAGAAAATATAAATACATATATATTTTTATCAATATGCCTGTAAGTAGTTAGGCTCCCAACAAATGGAGAAAAGGCTGGAGTCTTCAGCCAACAGCCATCTTTATCAAGGATACCACCATGACTACTTACATTCCAAATCACTTTGGTGTCTTTGTACTGAGACCTCTTGATTTTCCAAAGCAGAGGCTAATAATATTCTATAGGCTATTTTTGCTGGTATGACTGTACACAGTAAGGAAATAACTAGCAGATTCAGGAATTTCTGTGCCTAAGAATGTAGCATGTAGAAACAGGAATTAAAGGGACTGCACCCTTTTGAGTTTTATTTTAAGTAAACCCACCCATTTTGATGAAGAATGTGGTTTTATCAGTGTTCTCGCTCCACTGAAGATTAAGACAGTTAATAGCACCAAAAATCATATCAACATTTTGGGGAGAACTCACCTATCTTCTCAACACTTCTGTTTAAGTAAGACTGCTGAGATTACATGAAATAGCACTTATTTCTGGTGCTTGTGTAAATGCTAGTCCTTCTGTAAACAGGAAAACCTGTGTTGAGCTGCAGTGCTTCTTCAACAATAGTGGTATTTCGTGACTGCTTTCTATTATCTGCTGGCAGGTACAGCACTGGAACTAAACTCTTAGTTCAGAAAGTTTTCCATTTCGGTTCAACAGCCTTCTGAAATGGGATCCTATTCTTGCCAATTTTCTTCATTAAGTTATCCATCTGTTGTCAGATTATTCACTCTAAATGTGATAAACACACCGAGACCACAGCAGACATACACTTCACAGTGTTATTACCAATTTACTGGAACAAAATTTAATTCAAGATTCCAGCTTAATGTGTGCAAAGTCCCTCTGAACACAGGAGCTCTGTGCATAATCTTGACTTTTGATAGCATTCATAAATCCTTGAATGAAAGCTTCAGATTGTGCTAGGAAGAGATCCAACAGTTGTCTGAATTCTATGGATTATTGTCTGCGTATGTAATATCTATACAAAATAAAAATCTACTAAAAAGGGAATTGGAAAAGTCTAGGGGAAAAGCATTCTAGGCAGCAAGAGAAATTAAAATGAGGAGTGACTTAACAGCAAAGAAAAACTGAAGAGGAAATGCGTGAGGGAGGAGAAAACAGTAAAGAAGAAAGAATACCACAAATGTGAACAAATACAGTAAACAGGGATGACCGAAGGAGAGAACTGGAGAAAAAAAAATTACCATGAATATGGTAAAAGATGCTTGAAAAGGTATATAAGGTTCATGAAGCCCAAGAGCTAAGTTTATGTTCTCAAATACTGCATAAATCAAGAAATACAATGACCAACTCCATATCCTCAGACCTCTAAGAAAACAAACCCAATTCACATTCCTGCAGATAAGGAACCCAAGACTGAAGGAGCTGGAAACTCCAGTCCTGCTCCACCTGCGTAAGGACATTTATTTTCAGCTTGCCTTCCATATTTGTTCACATTACATAGCTTTTCTGCCAAAAACAAAAGAATGGCAAAAGCCCTTCTAAGTTGCAAGCTTAACCAAGTATTTTAAATAAGACAAAAGCATACAGCTGTATCACCAAAACAAAAATCATAGAGTCATAGAATGGCCTGGGTTGAAAAAGACCTCAAAGATCATCTAGTTTCAACCCCCTGCTGTGTGCAGGGTCCCCAACCAGCAGACCAGGCTGCCCAGAGCCACATCCAGCCTGGCCTTGAATGCCTGCAGGGATGGGGCATCCACAAACTCCTTGATCAACCTGTTCCAGCGTGTCACCACTCTCTGTATGAAAAATTTCCTCCTAACATCTAACCTAAACCTCAAGCACGAAACATGTTTACTAAGTTTCATGATGAGAGCAGAACAATAGCTGCCCTTCTCTATCTATTAAATATGGAGCTACAAAGGAATCATGCTGATGCTCTTGCACAGGACCACCAAGTTGTCCCGCAATACTGATTATTTTAATAGGGTTTGGCAATATAAATACACATCTGAACAAATCAGAATCTTGACAGATGTGACAAATGTTCCTCTATTAAAAGCAGTGCTGGATTTTCACCGCATACGCATATCCCTATCAGATACAACTCCCAGCACAGTCTGCACTTAACCTCTGTGCGCAAAGTCTGCCCATACGTTGTAGGACTATAAAACAAAAGCTGTACAGTGCTGGCAGCAGCCAAAGGAACCACACCAATCCTAGATGGTGCAGTTCTATGGCCTCCATGCTACACAGTGCGTCTCCTGAACAGCAAAGGGAATTAAATGACATCACTGCTGGAGAGCTTGGACACAGCCTGCAGAGCTAGGTGAAGGGATTTAGAACAGTGATGTTACAAGAGCAAGACATCACCTACATTCTGAATTCTTGTTTCTTGAATATATAAATAAGTGAAATGTGTTCCAGAGAATAACTTCCCTAGTCACATTCAACAGTGCTTTGCAGAACTGAGCTCTTAACACACAGAGATTAATGTGACATTTATTATGGTCCCTGAACACTTGCCAAAACCAGTGTGTGCACTGTGAGACAATGAGGCTCAGATTTTCTCTCCAGTTCAGATTTTCATTCCCCCAAACACCACACCTACAGGTTACATCCATACATATAGGCACGATGTAATGACCTCAATTCTTTCCATTTTCTTGAAAAAAAAAACAAACACACACACAAAAACCAACAAAATCCACAAAGAAAGCATTGCACAAAAAAATCCCAGCCCTGCCAGATAACACTGTCACAAAATAACTACTGCACAGAATTCAATACTTGTACCAAACAAGGCAAGGTAAGCTCTATCCTGCCATCAAATGATAAGTACAGCTCTCCATAACAGTTTACTAGGAAAACAAGATATTGTGAAATAGAAATAATAAAAAGTGGCAAACCTTCAAGCCTTTTAATATCTGATATACCAAGAACTGGATTCGGTCTTCAGTGAGTTTCTCATGCTTCATTATCTTACTCAAGTCTGTTCCCATAAATGGCATGACTAGGTAGCTAAACCAAACAAAAAAAAAAGGAAATAAAGTCAGAATAATTTTAAGTTTGTCAAATAAATTGAAACATACTTGTATGATGTGGTTCATCGACAATATTACAGATCATTCTGTTTACCAAACAATTCCACTATCTTCCCTTCAGGCCCCTCTGTGTTTTTATCTCTTGTCATGAAGAGGTACCACATAACCCTGACACTGATTATGGAAAGTTGGCAGTTACCAGAAGAGTACAGATGCTGAACAAGATAAAAGGCATCTACTCAACAGCCATGTGATATTTCAAAGATATCTACACAGGAAACTGGAACATTCACACACAGTGGTATTTATCTTACCATCATTATCATAGGATATGTAAACCAGCAGCAATCAAACGGCCTAGAATCAAATAGACAAGGTCAGATGTAACAAATTAACTTCTATCTAGGATTGTAACCTCCTTCATCATCAGTAACTCATACTGGCTTCCAGTCTCAACATTCACAGGCCAGTTTGTTATCTTTTGGACAGAAAAAATGTGCAATTCAATTCTGTAATCATATAAGGACATAGCAACTGAGAATGAAATTTCTTCTCTCTCTCCAAGTCTCACTCTAGATGCTTCTCAACAACAGATCCAGTAACCTAGAAAACTGAGTTTGATTTCTGCTTTGTTGATGCTCTTGAATGTTAAAAGCATATTATGTTCTCCCCTTATTCAGACTTATTAGATGTATTTTCCCAGAGGTCAGGAATATTTGAAATGAACCAGAAAATGACACTAGTTTTACCAAAAAAAAACCCAAAACAACAACAACAAAAAAAAAAACCAGAAAGAAATATCTATGTGTCTTTTACTAATGGCAGTGACCTTCAAGATTCATTAAGATTTCACTAGCCTGCCATCATCCATACAGATCGCAGGCCTCTGGATGGATAATGATTTATGTAAATAGACAACATTAAAAACAACACGTAACCATCAAGCACTCTAAGACCACTTTTCCATATGCAATATGCTCAGTTTACAGTTTGGTGACATCAAACCTAACAGTTCAAACTGAGGAAACAAAATGGGGAAACAAAATTTAAGAAAGAGAAAATCCATTTTTGAGTTTGAAAATCCAAACTGTAGTATGAGTTTATGAGTAACTTACTGGAATGACTGGATCAAACGTTACAGGCTCACTCGAACGCTTTGTCTTCTATTTAAAGCTTGTCGAACTTGTTTTTATTTTAGAAATGTATTTACAGTGAGGTTAGACACTTGATTGCCAAATCACTCCAATGGAAACGTGATGCCTAGCACATTTAAGTTCCTTGCAAGTCCAAGTTAAAACTCGAGAACTTTTAGAGGGCAGCAACCTGTTCTAGATACTTGTTTTATGATACAAGGACAGACAGTGCAAAAATTGTAGTCAAAGAAGATGAAAAACAGCTGTACATAGTGGGATTTCAATTGGTAAAGACTGATTTTGTACAGTATTTCCATCAGTTGCACTTCCAGCTCTGACAGAAAACAAGTGCAAGCAGGGAAATGACACTGACTGTTTCTTCACACAGGAAATGGTATCTTGTTTTTAGTCTTCATTACACTGACTCATGGAGTAGAGCAGCAGGAAAGCAGAACAGCAGACAGCGCAGGAACATATTATGCTTTAAACAGGAGGGCCAGAATTACTTGAGAAACCCAAAGTCTTGGATGACACCAGCCTTAGGGATTGCTGGTGTTGAAACCACATGCCTCTCTTCAGCTGTTTCTGGCCACAAATCAACTTGAATTTGATCTTTACACAGTCAGTAAGAGATAACATCTCACAACTAGTCAGCCAAGGGAAGGCTCCCTCACGTATCTAATCCAACCTTTTGGACAACATCCTTTTTGGCTCCGTGGTCTCTTAAATGATCAATATTAACACATGGTCTGTGTTTTTTGTATTTGTTTCCCTCATTTTCTTGTCAGATAGCTTTTTTTTGTCAACATACAAATACACAGGGTTGCTTTTAAAATATAGATACATCGGAGGAAATTCAGTGCAGTTCTACAAATATAACGTATTATCTACATTAAGTCCAAGAGTGTTTCTGACCACTGTTTCTGTAGTGTCTCTAATTCACAAGAACTGCAGAAGGATCCACAAGTAAAACAGGCTTAATATCTGCAGCACTAAATATCTGGTGTCTGAGATGCTGCCAAAAGACATACAACAAAGAGATGTAGATGCCTGGTGCCAGAAAATAATTTATATTACATTCTGCTTGGATCATGTCGGCCTGTGAGATTAGTAGTCAAGGGGAAGTGTAGAACACCTTCAACTGGACATAAGGGAATGCAGAATGAGCACTGGGAAACCACACAGAGAGGAATGCAACAGAGCAGAGCTCAGATATTCACAGAAAAATTAAACAGTAACAGCAGTTTTGAATTAATCCTAGAATTAGAATGGACCACACTGGAGATGTGTCATGCAGAAGGCAACACTTTCAGACTACTTGCCTGGGTTAAGAATGGTTCCATTATCTGATCATCTAAGCTTTAGTGTAAGAAACACTAAAGGCGGGTTACGGAGCCCATCAGGATGTGTTTACTGAGGGATGCAAGAAGCACACAGCCACACAGCTTATAAACAGGTTACTAGCTCTAACAATAACCTGAAAAACCTACCAATTTCCAAGTTGCATGGAACAGCCATTCTAAGACGGAATTCAGAAAAGTCAGGAAGCAACGGGTTTGGAATTCTCCATTATTAAGACGCACAAACAAATCTTTCTCCACACAAGAAACAGTCCCCTGCTCCCAAACAGAAACAACTCAAAACTCACAAGCCAGTAAATTTCTCCACTGTGACATCTGGTGTGAACACATCCAGTATTCCAATCACCTGAAAATAAGGAGAAGGGAGAGAAAGAAACCATGGGTTAATGCTACCTTAACAGAAAAATTCCCGAATAGTTTAATTAGTGGAGAAATGTAATAAACAACATTTCCATAACAAGACATTAACTACGGGCATAAAGGTGGCTGAAGTAGCGCCTAACAACATTAGGATTCGCTATGTGCTAAATTTTAAACCTTTGAGGCCTCCTTGTGATAAAAAAGATGTATGTATTAAAAAGCTCAGAGGCTTACCGTTTTATACAGGAAGACGGAGTGCCTTTGAACCTGAATGACTTCAGTATTTTAAATAAACCAGATAAATCAGTTTATAATCTGAACCAGTCATAAGTGGTCCTCACTTAGCTGGACCTGCACTGACAACAATGAAGAACACTTCAAACACCTGCTGATTTCCCTGAGGAAGTAATTTAGGTAGAAAGATTGCAATCCCTAACTGGGAGAGCAAACAAGAAACTAGACCTAAATTCTTCCCATAGAAAGTACATTATCAAGAGAAATAACCACCTAGCAAAGTACATCTCCCCACCACAGCTTTTCCTAAGAAATTTAGGTTAGATGTTAGGCAGAAGATCTTCACTCAGAGGGTGTTCATGCCCTGGCACAGCTGCCCACAGAAGTCATGGGCACCCCATCTCTGGAGGTGCTCAAGGCCAGGCTGGATGGGGCCCTGGGCAGCCTGAGCTGGTGGATGGCAGCCTGCCCATGGCAGGGGCTTGGAACTGGTGATCTTTGAGGTCCCTTCCAATCTAAGCCATTCTATGATTCTAGGGTGTATTTTTCAGTGCAACTACATCAGCTGAATATAGACTTAATACAGTCATCTCCAGTGCTTCTCTCAAGCTCATTAATGACTAGTAAATTAAATATACAGAGCTAGATGCTTCAAAAGATGTAGCTGGCATTGTCTAAAGCCAAATCTCAGCTCAGACACTGCTTAATCCTGTAAATTCCTACACATTACAGGCAGTTGGAGTAGTTTCTTTTCAGCTTTCTAGAACATCTCTGGTTCAAACCTCAAACTGGAATCCTGCAGTCAAGCACTGCTAATTCACAATTTCTCTTTGCTCAGAGGAAGCCCCTGAGCAGGGCCCAGAAGCCAGGCTCTGCCAGCAGCCTGTTGGTGCTCTGGGCAGTGGGCTACTCATGCCAGGTCCAGGCTGCCACACTGACACTGGAACATGGTATTTTGGGTTTGCACGAATGCACACTATCTCAAATGGCAGCTTTTAGGCTGGTTGACGCACTGATTAACTGATGCACATGCCTCTCTCAGCAACCTTCTGCGACACAACTTTTAGACAGGCACGTCACAGGCTAAGGGTTATCGTGGTACTGAATTGAAGGCCACACTGAAAAAAGGTATTTGAAACACCTGTGAGGAGTGGAATGGCATTAGATCAGTAAGACAGACTACCATGCCACCCCCCAACTGATGCCAGGTCTGTCTGGCTCTGATGTCATCAGTGCAGACTGGCTTCTGTGCTGAGGTCTGAAATGCTTTTTTAGAAGCCAAACACTTTGACAGAAAGCACTTCTCCTATTGTCAGCAGGCCTGTGGAGTACCAACCAGTGGGGCACAGAAAGAAAGCAACGGAAATGGAAAATGAAAGAGAATATTGTTCCTAAGAGACTTGTAATCTTTATAACCTTATTCAGACCAATCTTTATGGCTGTGTGGTTTAGGGATTACACGTCAGTTTAAAATTGAAAAACTAGAAGCTTCATGAAAGGAAACAAGACTAACGGCGTATTATGTTGTCTATGTTACCATCAGAGTACTGAAACTACTGCACAATTCACCTGGATAACAATCAGGATGGATTTGGGACATTATTAGCATAATAGCATAGCAAATTATGTGGAAGTAAAGACAAATGCAGAAAGAGCAGAAATGCAGGGAAAAAAAGAAAGAAAGGAAGGACAACTTCCTTTATTCAAAGGTTTAAATAAACTCAACCAACACTGATGACATCCTTTGTGCACCTATTTTTATCCTTTCCACATTCAAGGGAGGTACCACACTTAGACTGGGTGTTATCACAACATGCAAGGCTTAGATGAGGACAGAAACCTCACAATCCCTCATCTTCGTAGCCAAACGTATCTTAGAAAAAATAGCTAGTAATATTTTTCTGAGGACCGTTATCTGAAACTCATTCAGAATAATGTGACTACCATAAAACAGTGACTATACCCACAGAGGATTTGGTTATTCTCTGAAGTGACATCTTCAGCGTTTCTTCCTCTCCTCCCACTTTTCCAGAAGACCTGCTTGTTCTTTCCAAGGAGGTATTTCCATGTCTTCATTCACCTAAGCTATCTGCCTCACCAACACAAAACATACTGAAGATAAACTCTGTGATGCCAGAATGCAGCAGTGACCCACAGGGGACAAACCCACAGACAGAGCTGATGGAGCAGAAGATGAAGTGATAAGGATGCCGCACTGCTTCCATCTCATCATAGCAAAATGTTATCAGGCCCCCACTGTCAACACAAGAACATGTTTCAATAAAGAGAACAGCGGAACAAAAATCATTCCGTGAACCACACCAAAATCTTACTTCTCCATTAAACAGTGTCCCATCGTTACTTTATGCTTCCTGAGGTACAAACTACTGATTCCAAGGGAGGCTGCAAACCTCCGGAGACGAGCGTACTGTTGGCCTGCGTTGTTGCAAACCCCGTGATGTGAGGAATACCACAGAGACCAGCACTGCTCCCGCTGGAGGGAATTTTAAATACTAACACAGAAAGCTCTTCTAATATGCCAAGTGTTTCACAATGCTCCTTTTCTTGTTCTCCAAAGCAAGTTTTCTGAAAAACCTGAAATCCACGTTAGTGCCCAATATGTGTCATGTTAATAGTTAATTGATTTAAAAATAAAACGGGCCCAATTGCTTCCCCTTGGTGATCTTTATGGAACAGTTGTGCTTTGGGGTGATCTTCCTTCCCTGGAACAGAGTCATTTAGTATTTCCACCCAGACCATTGCTTTCTTTTTTTAGGTTGGCCATGAGCCAGCAGTGTGCCCTTGTGGCCAAGAGGGCCAATGGCATCCTGTGGTGCATTAAAAAGAGCGTGGCCAGCAGGTCGAAGGAGGTGATCCTCCCCCTCTACTCTGCCCTGGTAAGACCTCATCTGCAGTACTGCGTCCAGTTCTGGGCTCCCCAGTACAAAAAAGACAAGGATCTCTTGGAAAGAGTCCAGCGGAGGGCCACAAAGATGGTGAAGGGCCTGAAGCATATCTGCTATGGAGAAAGGCTGAGTGAGCTGGGTCTGTTCAGCCTTGAGAAAAGAAGACTGAGAGGGGACCTGATCCAGGTCTATAAATATCTGAGGTGTGGGGGGCAGAATGGTGAGGCTGGACTCTTTTCAGTGGTGAGTGGAGACAGAACAAAGGGAAACGGCCGGAAACTGCAGCACAGGAAGTTCTGCACAAATGTGCGCAAGAACTTCTTTACAGTGAGGTGACGGAGCACTGGAACAGGCTGCCCAGGGAGGTGGTGGAGTCTCCTTCTCTGGAGATGTTCAAGACCTGCCTGGATGCCTACCTGTGCGACCTGCTGTAGGGAACCTGCTTTGGCAGGGGGGTTGGACTCGATGATCTCTGGAGGTCCCTTCCAACCCCTACAATTCTGTGATTCTGTGATTCTGTGATTCTGCAGATATGCTAAGAGCAAGGAGGCACAGAATGAAATAAGTCTTCCCAGGAAGATACATCTCCAGATACTTCTCCAGGAAAAGGAAAAGAACTGGACAGAATACAGGAAACTCCCTTTTCCGTACTATGGAAAATCCTAAGTCTGTCTAAAATGCCCTCTTCTCCCAGTTAAATACAGTATTTGCAAAAACTTCGTGGTGCTTAAAGATACTGTCCCAGCACAGAATGAAGCCACCACAAAACACGCATCACAAGAATCATCTCTTGTTCATAGCATGTTCTCTATGAAAGCTGAGGTATTGTGAAGCGTCCTGCAGCCGTGTTCTTCCCCTCCGATAAGGAACGAACTCCCTGCACCCAGGGATGGTGATGAAAAGCATCTGTAGAAACTGCCAGGAGCCATGACCACATTTTTTCCCTACAAACTCTGCCAGGAAGCGATTTCAAGAATGAAGCCCCCACAGAGGATTCATTTTGATTACTTCTGCCCATCTCACTGAAAAACAGGTTGGATTTTCATCAGCTCCCCTGCAGTACCTTCCTTGCTTGTTACAAAGCATGTCTAAGGACAGAGCTTGATGTGTGCCTCTCCCATCTTCCTGCAAAGCAATGCCAACCAGCTGCAGAACTACACTTCTGCTGCTCCTACTTGTTTCAGGTGAGGATGTTCATGCTCTGTACACTGCTGACTGTGTCCTTCTCCCAGGAAGCCGCTCCAGTGGCTCCAGCCTTATTTTTAATCTCTATCATTCGCCTGCACAAGACATTTACATTGATCATTCTGATCAGTTTTAATTACTGGCAGCAAATAACAGCTGTGTTTGCAAGGTGGTTACCACCCTCTTCTTCTCAGATATCTCCTGTTCCAAACACAATTCTACCATGGGCACACAGCAGCGAGGAGCTCCTTATCCATATGCTCCCATGCACATTCATGTATTTTCAAGGACTGTTTCACTGGATTTCTGTAAAGGAAATTTCTGATGCAAGCAGCAGTACACAAATGAAAGACGTGATCTGCTATAAATTAATAAGTAATGCAGGCTATGTCTTTCATGCAGTAAGTGCTTCTTTATCCCATGGATGTTACGCATGAACACACAGCGAAGCTGAGCAGCTCTGGCACTCAAGCTGCAAATACATTTTTTAAGAGAGCCCTGCTGGGGTATATTGAACTATATATCATACTGCATTACATTTTCTGCAGTGTTAGCTTCAACTTCATGTTGTTGTGCTCTTCCACATCACAGGGCACCGGTGTCCTTTTAACTACACTAAGAAGCCTCAATCTTTTTATGATTGTAACCCACAGCACAAGGCTCATGCTGCAGTCACTTCCATTCCACCCAGGGTTACCTCTGCTGCACCTCAAGGAGAGATGGAAATGGCAGCACATCCACAGACACCAGCCATGTCTCACAAGCCACGCTCCGCTAGAGACCTATACGCAACACCCGACAGACTCAAATGCTTTAGACTTACACCCTAGAGTGAGAAAAAATCCTAAAACAAAAAGGTTTGGGTTTTAGCACTGTCCTCACCGTGTTTTACTTGACTAAGCACATCCGTCTGCTTTATTACTGTCTAAGGCTGGGTGTGAAGAAACAGGTGATGGCTGACGTTCAGCCTGGATAAAACACCTAGCAGGTAGGTTTGTAAGAACAAGCCCAACGTGTGATGACTGGTATTGCCATGTTGATTTACCAGCAGCTCCTGGAGTCACTTCTTTCAGTACTTGGTGTTGTGTTAGCTGCCTTGCTGTTTGTAGCTTTCAGCATGCAGAAAAAGCACCATGAGTGTTACTGCCCTACAACATTTTGACAGCAGTAAATCATACAGCCATGCCTCACTTGCAATCTGAAAGCAGATTTGCCACTTTCGGACAGGATTCACAATTTGCATTTTATGGCACTTATCTCCTTAAAGGATGTGAATTTTCAGCTGATGCAGTCCTGCAGGGCTTCCTGTAGGAAATCCAATACAGTGAGCATTCACAGTGGCACCACACATCTGTGTAAAGGCACTGCTCACCTGTAACTCCCTTCTTGGATTGACTTAGTATACTTCCTCTTCTAATGCTCACGCCAGGCCAGATGAGCTGCAAAAGTGACAGTCTGAAGATCTCCTCAGGTAGGAGCATACCTTCCTAGCATTTTCTCTGAAAAAATGTTGCCCCTTGGCTGATGCCAAAAGACCTCACTTTTTTCATAATTAAGAATTCAAGATAATTAAGCATCAGCTAACCTGAAATGGAAGGCCTGCATCATCATCCTCAGAAGCGTAGCTGTAGAGTGAGAGCTGATTTGGTGTCTGTTGGATACCTGAGCTCTTCCCAAAGGGGGAAAAACGCTACATGGTTCTCCTAATGTAAAACATACATTGTTCTTGAGATGTTGGAATTCACCAGAGAGTAATGTTCTCACAGAGAGATGACTGAGAGAGTAATATATAGAGTACCTTTAAACAAATACTGCAGCTGACTCTTAGTAGGTTTCCAGGAAGACATCTGTAGAATATTAACTGACTCAACTTGAAGAGATATTTAATGGGCATCTGTCAAAAATCTTATTCCAAAAGCATATTCAGAATTTAAATTGGTACAACTGGGTCAGAATTATCACGTGTGCTTATGTTTATATATAGATACAAACGCATGCTGGCACACAGGCACTGTTTTCATTCTCTTTCTGGTTTTAAGTCAAAGCCATAGTAGATAATTTTAAGGGTCCTCACTTTAAATGAACTCAAAATGTAAAAAGGCAGGGAACAAAAGCAGCACTACCCAAAAAAAACTTCCAAAAGATAAGCAGCCTGGTCTTCTACATGATGCAGTGGGTGCCAAAGAAACAACCAAGATCTGTAATGGGAGATAGCATGAATAAATGAAGAAAAGCAAAAAACACAGTATGCTTTTCATTCTGCTTAGCTGCTTGTATTCCCCATTTTCACACTACTTCCTCTTTTTTGCCAGAGTATCTGTTTATACAGCTAAAAAGTGATCCAGCAACTTATCTTGCTGGAAGCTAACTTTCCTTTTTGGCAATATCTAAGGCAATATCTAATATCTGGGTTAAATTACTTCTTAGGCAATAGAAGTAACTTACGATGCTTGTGAAACATCCCAAATTCTCTCAGACTATAACATCCATCAAAAGACAGATCTGAGTGCCATCAGAGACAGGTCTCACTCTCTTGATAGATGGCTTCTACCCCATGGTCATCAACACCACTTCCCTCATGGATTTGTTTTCTGAGGGATGAAGAGAAGTTCCATGTTACAAATTTGCATGGCTTACACAGAAATATTCCTTGTTACATTTCAGTAACGCGCACCTAGAAAGCCATTAGAGACCATAATGATTTGGCATATAAAATGAAGAGATAGTCATCTCTGCAACGTATGGGAACTCTTGAGTCACAGCCTGAGCCACTGATTGACCACCTGAGGCAAAGACTGGCTCAGCCATGGGAGCACAGGTGAAGGCGATTCAGCTGTGTGACCAGAAGGGGTGGCAGGCGGTTGCACCTCTCCTAGACCCCATTTAAGGCCTGACTGCCATGGGGGAAGGATCTCTGTCTGGAGATGGCTCCCTTTGGAGTTTTCTACTGCAAGCCTAGGACACGAGTGAGCATTCCATTTATTTTTGATTCTCTCTCTGCACTGTGATAATCTTTCTAATTATGAAACCTATAGAATACCATCCCAACCACGCCACTCTGCTAATTGTATGTTCGTTAATTGTACATTGCAACTGCTGTTGCCTATTCCTGAAAATGCCTGAATAGATGAGCAAAATGACTGGGAGTTAGTTCTCCTACAAGGTAAAACACAACTTCAGTAAAATTAAGTGAGATGACTCCCATATTTACGTTCATCCTGTAGGATAACAGGACATCCTAAGACACTTCCACACTAAGTAAATGAGCGTACTCTTCAAAGGATCAATAATAGAGGTAATCCAGGGTATCGAGCAGGCGTTTTCTTCACTCCAGCAGGACACAATGAAGAACTGTAGCACAGGTTTATGATGTCTCCTGTGCTCTTAATGGAGGGTCAGAGATGCCAGTTTTTACTGTGGCATGTCAGACTATTTTCTTCTATTATTCTGAATACATCATAAGGTTAAATAAACTATGATAATACATTGACACATACACATCATAACAACCCGTTGAAAGCTACAAAGGGCAGACATGCTCTATCCAAAGGCAATGACAACAGATGAAAGGAACAACAATGTGCAAAGAAAGAGGCTCTTTGACAGAACTGCAGCAGATCAAAGATTGGGAGGAGGCCTGAAAATCCTGATGAGGAGTGCTACTGCCACTCTGGTCTAATTTCGGATGGGAGGAATGTTTAAAGAATATCCCGAGGTCAGCATGAGGGTTAGAAATCCTGAAAGGCTTTGCTGCCAGTCCTAATTCACAGTGGGTGAAATGAATGGTATGGGACTGGAATCGTGGATGGAAATCCTCATGAAGAGCTGTAATGCCCCTTCAGCCTTATACTGGATGGGCGAGGGTCATTGTCTGCCTCCCCAGTGTCCACACATTCCTTGCATGATCATTTATTTGGTCACTGATCTTTAATGAGTAAATACTCATTAAGACCAGATTTATCCTTCTGTGGCCAAAATTGTTTTCTAAGACTACATGTTACATAATATTCCCTTCCTCCATGTATACTGATTTGTAACTGTTACAAACGGCACTCACACTCCACAGTGAGCACTTCTGTCTGTATTCCTTAGTCATCCAACAAGCACGTGGGGAGGTTCCAGAACGCTGTCCTTCAGGGCCTACATGAGTGAAAAATGCAACCCAACGCATGACTCTGGGAAATGGAAGACAGTTTGCAAACTCTGGACACCGTTAAGAGCTTTTGACTGCAGGAGCTAACTGCTCCCAGATATTCAGTGGAGAAAATGCAGAGAGTGTGAAAGCCCATGTATGACACGGAAGATCCCTGCAAAAATTAAGTCTTTGATATGTACAATAGTGGTTAAAAAGCTGTTACTTCAAGTAAAATGAGGAAATATGCTACAAGATTTAGGCCAAAAGGTTAAGAGGCACAAAAAGCCTTAAGCCTACAAAAGGCCGCCTTCTTCCAGACAGTCCAGATATCCCACTGATTATTTTTCAAAACAAATCTAGACAACACTGGTACCCAGACTGTTAATCTCATAATGTCAAATGACAATGACAGGTTACTGTTAGCACCAGTTTCTCTCATCCTCACTCTCCATCATGTAGCTTGCCATCAGGAAGGCTATATGAAGGAAAAATGCTCCAACCTCCCACATTAATCTCCCACATTATTACTTGAAAACAGACTCTGATGTATCATTTTAATAAGCCACAATCTTTCCTTTTTTTTTTTCTTCTTCATTTTAAAGCATTTAAAGCCACTACTCCGATCCCCCCAGCCCACCATGGGAGCCTCTCCTCACGCTTCAACTCCACAAAAGTTTTCACACAGATCTGTTCAGGATAAACAATTTAATCACACTTTCAACACTTCTTCCTACAGCTGTTCTTCTTTTGTACTGTGTGGGAATCTGTGCCGAGTGCTGTATCTTATTCTTTACTTTCCAGTAAAGCACTTTGCTTAGTTATTCCCAAACATTCCCTGTTTCCTATTAGCACAAACCCAACACTTCCGAATACTTCGTGAAAGATAAAGAAAGCCCTACTCCCCCAAATAGGTATGCATGCACAACATGCCCACTTTCAGCGAGTTCTGAAAACCTGTTTCACTTTTCAGATGCTGCAGTGTGGGATGCACAGCACAGACCCATCCTCCTGTACCTCACAGGGATGTAATGATGAGGATGGAATTTCTGGGCACTCCATCTCTCTCACTGGTCTGAAGCACAAATTCCACTGCAGTTCTAAACATTCCCACCCGACCTTTCCTACAGGACAGCAAGATGTGCTTCTCACAGGAGACTCCCATGTGTGAGCTGACGTTTGCAGATCAGGGACAGGCAGACGGAGGACAGACCACAGGTCTCGTCAAAGAGCCCTGAACGCTACAGCTGCACATCAGCTTGCCCAGTTCTTTTCTTTTTCAGTGCACGTAAGCTCTGCGAAGACTGAACTCACGTTTTCGTGCTTCATGTGCTTCAGGAGGCGCAGCTCTCGGTAGGCTCTCTTGGCAAGGATCTGGGACTGAAAGGGGCGGTACAGCTTCTTAATGGCCACTTTGGTGCCGCTTCTTCCATCCACAGCGGAGCTTCAGGGGAGCAGAACAGCGCCTTGTGAGTGCGGGCGGAGCGGCATCGCCGCTCTCTGCTGCCTCGCCCTGCCAGCGGCGTGCCCGGCACAGAAAAACGATCCCAAGCCAGGCGTCCCGCTCCAGGGTGGAGCCCGGGATGGGGACACGCGCGGCTCGGAGCGCGTTCCCAACCACGCACGGGCGGACCCCCGCTCCCCCGCCCGGCTCTCCGCGGGACGGGGCCGCCCAGGTGCGGGTGGGGCCGGCGCTCCTCAGTCCCCCCCGGACCTGGCAGCGCAGCCCGGCTCGGCACGGCCGCCGGAGAAAGTTGGTCGGGAGGAAAGCGAAAGCGCCGCGTCCCGCCGACCCCGGGCTGCGCCCCGCCGAGCCGCCATCTCGGCCGCCCTCGGTCCCGGGGTGCGCCCTCCTCCCCGGGGCAGCCGCAGCCCGACCCCTTCCCGCTCACCAGACGGTTCCGTAGGCGCCGGAGCCTACGAGCTGCAGGTCCCGGTAGCGGTCCCGCACTTCCCAGAGAGTTTTGGTGATCTCCTGCCGGTAGAAGCCGTTCTTGGGGGAGGACATAGCGCGCGGCTAATGCCGCCACCTCCAACAAAGAGCCCGGGGGGAGCGCCGAGCGCCAGGCCGGGCTGAGCGAGCCGAGGGGCCGGGCTTGGCCGCGCTCCCTCCGCGCCTCGCTCCCTCCCTCTCGCCCGCCCCTGCCCCTGCCCCGCTCCCCCGGCAGCGCCGCGCTCCGCTGGGGGCACCGCCCGGCCCGGCGCCCTGCCCGCTCCTGAGCCCCGGCGGGCTGTCCGCGTGGAAAGGCGGCGACCCGGCAGGTGCTGGGCACGGGAGGAACGGTGCGTGGCAGTGCTGCTCCCGGCATTTCCCTCACGCCGCCCGTGCTGCGTACACCGCTTTAGTTCTTCCAGCGGCTCAGCGCCTCCAGCGCTTCTGCTTTCCGCCCCTCTCCCCGCAGCAGCGTGGCCGAAGCCGTGCCGCTGCCTGCGTGGACGGCGAGGGCAGCTCCCTCACAGCGCCGACACGGCGGAGCGAGAAGCTCGGCGAGCTGAGATGCGGCCGTGGCCGTTCAGCCTCATCCAGCGCCGTGCAGAGAAGAAGGTGTGAGGCTTCTGCCGCACCAAGACACACTCAAAATCCATCTGTTCCTTATGACTCGCTTGCGTGCTGCTGTGTGTTTATGGATCTGGTGGGTGATGTGTGCTTTATTGTCTTGCAAAGCTCAAGATATCTCCCCTGTTCTACGAAATCAGCCTTGGAAATGGGAGGTGGGAGTGGGAGCTGACAGGAGTGCAGATGGATGGCTGCTTGGTGACACCAGGGCTCCGTGCAGGCCCTATGTGCTGTGCTGGATATTGTGCTGCTGGGGTAAACTGAGAATCCTTACTGTGGAGCTGAGCACAAGCACACCCTGGCCTTCATCTGGGTGTGTGCCCACCATGGGCTTGTTCAGCCTGGAGAAGAGAAGGCTCCTGGAGACCTTACTGCAGCCTTCCAGAACTTGAAGGGAGCGTATAAACGGGAGGAGGAATGACATTTTACACGCTCCAATAGCAATACAACAAGGGGAATGGCTTTAAACTACAAGAGGAGAAATTTAGGTTAGATATTAGAAGGAAATGCTTTACCCAGTGGGCAGTGAGGCACTGGCACAACTGCCTCAAGAAGCTGTGAGTGCCCCATCCCTGGAGGCACTCAGGGCTGGGCTGGATGTGCACCTGAGCTGCTGAGTGGCTCTGCCCATGGCAGGGGATTGGCAGTAGATGGTCTTTGAGATTCCCTCCAACCCATTCTGTGGTTCTGTGGTGTGGCTCTTGCAGTCTGAACTCTTGCGTCAGTGCTTTGGATGTGGTAAAACTCTGCTGACTTTTACACTGAAGTGTTAAGGGATACAAAGTAAAAAATAGAAATGGAAAGAGGAAGAAATGAGAATTACGGTCAGTGGAGAAAAACTGCCTTTAGTTATAATTGTGGAGGCCACTAAAGTATTGTACTGCATCAAATGATATTCTACCAGTAAGCTGGAGCAGAGAAATGCGTGGTGGCTGTGACAAGGAATGGTGCTGCAGTCATAAGGACACGAGCAGAGATGCCAGCAGCAGCCCTGGGCATGACAGGGACAGCAGCAGGGTGTGGACAGTCCTCCTGCCAGGCTGGGGCTGTGCAACCGCTGCTTCCTGCAGCTCTGCATGCACAGGGGTGTCTGCAGGCAGGAGGCAGTGGATGTGCAAGTGGTCCATGCATCTCTGGAGTGGTATGAAGCGGCTCAAATGGCTGCTAAAATCTTTCATGGTGCTGTATTTCCGCAGCAAATTGTCCTGGTCGGCACATTTAAGGCAAAGGCCTTCTTTTTAATATGTTCTATATTTTCTCTGTGCGTATATAACTAGAATTCTTGCCCTTTGTGTGGTCTGACTTCAGCCCTGAGCAATGTTGCTGAGGTTAGGCAATTCAGGCTTGCTGTTGCTAGAGTTCAGTTTGTGGCTTATCTGGAGAGGGGCGATCTGGCCGTGCTGTGTGTCTGCTCAGTTCGGGCGAGCAGCCCTGCCCTCTTCCTCTCACTACTGACGTGTCAGGTACAAACTCACATCCTTCCACCGCACGGGCGATCTCCAGTATTGCTCTCTGCCGATAGGTGACCCGTTTGACTTAGCTATGTTAGTGAGAACAGAAAGCAGCCTTGTGGCACTCGGCAGGTAGTGCTGGGCTTCTGTCAGATCAATTGTACACATTTGTTTTTCAGATCAACCATCCCAACCATACCCAATTCGTTTATTAAATTTCCAACATCGCTTTTTTTGCAGTGTTTGATATTCAGATGATGGCTGGATATGGTATGGGCCAGGTGAGAGCTAAACAGCAGTACCTGTTACTGGGTGTTGAGCCTGTCCATTATTTAACATCTAATAGCTTGGATCCATCCACAGCTGGCAAATCTTACAGCAGAGTCACAAAATGCAAAGTCTTGGTGACCTGCTGGGCTTGGTTGGATGGAGTATATGGTATTTTCCTGAAGACAATCTGTTGCAGTCACACTGGTGTGATACTACAGCCACATCTTGGCCTAGGCAGTATTGCTGGGAAGGGCTAATTGAAAAACAAATGCTATCATATGTCTTTTTGGCATACTTTTAATGTAAAGATAATGGAAAAAAAGGTTTCTCAGACATCATGAATAAAAGGTAATAAATAATATTACGATGCAAAACACACACTTAATGCCCAACCTGTGAGGGGAACATTGGGAAGATTGTTACTGTGGAGAAGTTTTTGTTTTGTTTTTTTTTAGCACCTTTCATTGCTGTAAGGTTGCCATCAGCTGCAAAACACGTGGTAAATAGGATGTGTACAGTAGTGTACACGGTATACATGTGTACAGAGATTACACTTTATGATCTCTCCAGGGATTAATAACTCAGTTCACACTCCAGACAGGACCTGAGACTTCAGTGCTGGAGAAGCAGTTCTGTGAGACAGTAGTAGAGAAGCTAACCACGTCTTCCTGAGGAGTTCTGCAGAGGAAGAGAAATTACACAGCCTGGTGAGGGAGCTGCATGATAACTGCTCAGGACAAACTCTCTATTAATGGTGACAAGGTGGCAGTTTGTCAGGGCAGAAGAGCGTGGGCCAACAGCCGGTCCTCTTTTTAAAGTAGTCTGATCTTGCCTGTTCGTGTCTGTTGCTGTGGAAGAAGCAAATCAATTTTCATTTATTGCAAGGAGAAATAAAGCTGAAACAAAAATGTCAGTTTTCCTCTGACAATGTTCCTGTGCTATCGTGTCCACACCCTTCCTCGTGGAGCTGTTGCCAAATGTTTTGCAACTATTCAGAGGTTGTTTCTCTGACCCCTGAACAGGGTGCCTGAATTCCACTGTATGCGGCGCAGAGGGGAGCTGCTCAGCCATGCTGTGAGAATGCTCTACAATAAGCTGATGGGAATAGTTAGGTACTACCTAGGTGTTTTTTATTTTTATTTTCTTTGGTTAGGCATTTCATTTGCTCAAGATGTTGAGTGAGGTGTTACAGCAGTGTTTCCTGCCCCATTTATCTCTGCATTCTGGAAATGAGATGGAAGAAGCACAGCCATATGTAGACATAGCAGATGGGTATGTATAGAACAACTGCTTGCTCTCATGATTCTGTCCCCAGATCCTGCCTAAAGGCCCTCCTCTTCTTACTGATTCCTGCCATAAACTGATATGTGGGGAGTCTGGGTTTGTGTCTGAATTTGGGGGGTCAGAAGGAAGCAGTGGTGTTTTTAAACTATCACAGATTATCATCCCGAGATTCTGTTGTGCAGAGGAAAAATTACTCTTGAAGAGTTTTCCATCTCTGATGCAAAAATCATACAAAAAGGGCATTAATGGATATAGCTGAAAGTGTAACCTATCTGTCTCTACATAGCTGTGCTATCACCTGCTTATGTCACCACTCTGAGTGCCACTCTTACCCGTGTTTTCCATCACCCTTGATGTCGGGGCCATTTGGTGCTTTTCCATTTCAGCCTGATGGGAAGGCTGGACAGGACACGTTGTGTAGTTTCTGCACAGAGTGAAACATGACTGGGGTTTGTTCTTGGTTTGAGCCTTTGGGCTCTATAACAAAGTGAGTATGAAATAGGAATATATCTTAGTGCTAATCTAGAGGGCATTATTCTATGAGGGGCAAGGTATGGCTCAGTGGAGGCTGCCAGTTATGGCAGGCGTAATGCCTATTTGTCTCATGGCTGCCACTGAGATTCATTATTTACTGCACTCACTACCCTTTGTGATCAATCTGGAACCTAAAAGGAGCAGCTAAAACCTCTGTACAACTGCACATGTTAATTGGTGACAATAATTGAAGCTGAGGGACTATGCGAGTGCAAAATGAAGCATCTGTATGCATGGAGGATTGAAGCCTAATTGAACAGCTTCGTTCATTATGTAGAGATTTTCTGTATAATGGATTGTTAGAAGATCAGCATTAGTATAGGAAGCTCACAAGATATCCCCCCTTAACTTAGACCTTTTTATGCATTTCAGCTCTACACTTCATACAGCAGCAGCAAGGTCGATGGCAGCTTCATTAATGCAGCTTTCTGACCCTCTTGATACTAGTCACATAAAATCCTCGTGCTTTTGTCTTTGCCTACTTACATGGGTCCCATTTAATAATGCGCATAGCACCCAGAACTGAAAGCCAATCAATGTCAAAGACTGATAAATGAATGCCACTTGGTAGGCAGGCTTTGCAAGAGCATGCTGATTTCCTGAGAAGCAGCTTTAGGGGGCTGCACTGTATCTGCAGACACTGGCAGCATGGTTCATATGCAAGAGAAACAAGCAGCTCCTTCAAAGAGGAGCAGGGGTGCTACCCTTAATTCTTTCCCAGTGAGACTGAGCTTGCCTTGCCTGAATTCCTTTGCTACTAACAAAAGAGATAGTTTTATGCAACTTGCAGTGTATTTCTCTTTTAGCAAGAGCTAAATCTTTCCAACTGCTCACGCATTAGGGATTCCTGAGCCATTCCAGCAAAGTTGGAGCTAAGGATGCTAGTTAAGTAGTTCACTGCATTTAAATAGTGCAATTTTTAATAGATTCATCTCTGAGCAGGTTGTGAGTGTTGGAGAGGTGGATGTCTGCATGGTCTTTATTA